TACTCGTGTAAAAATATAACATATATTTACATATAAATAATATAGTCGATATGATCAAACCTAAAAGAGGGCTTACACTTTTAGATACATTAATAACAGTGCAATGTCTTATTTAAAGGGACAGTAAACTTAAACCATACAGGTTCTTTAATGAAGAAGATTCTCACAACATTCACAAATATCTATGTAAATGTTTCCATAAAGAAAATTTGATTTTAGTCATTCATGCATGTTTTCAGTCTATTTTAGTGTTCTATGTTAAATAGCATTTTGAGTTTTAAGGACCCAAAAAAGGACAAAATATCTGTATTCTTCAATAGTACAAGGACAGGAAGTCAGATGATTTTTGAAATCTTAACTCCATGTTAAAATGGATCTCCTGGCTGCTGTTAAATCCTAAAAATTGTATCCCCTCCGTATAGCTGATAAAGGATTTAATGCTTGTTTTGTCAAAGAGTTGATCAGTGTAAAACCTACCCTACTGCGCGGTCCCCATGGCAGCTGGTACTCATCCTCTCCCGCCCTAGAATAACGGCGAGCACTGCTACGTCATCATATACAATGCAGGACCAGAGGTGAAATGGTGGTCCTGCATTGTATGCAGGTATGTGGACATTTTTTTAAAAACTAAGTGTCCAAGGATTAAATCGGGGGGTCCCAATCTACTTGTCCCTTATGACAATCTACTTGTCCTGATAAAAAAAATATATATATATAATTTTTTTTTTGCAGGATGGAAAATATGAAGGTTTGCTGTTTGTTAACCATTAGCCGCCCGGCCAATGGCCGTTTGGCGGCTTGAAAAGCGCTGCAGCTTTCCGGGTGCACGCCATTTGGCGTGCTCCCGCACATGCGCGGTTGCAGAGCGATGCAGCAGTGCGATCTGTCACCGCCCGTGCACCTCGGACACGGCCGATGACAGATACCGGCTCCCGTTGCCGGGTACCATGTGACCTGCTGTGACCAATCACAGCAGGTCACATGACAGTTGTATACAATGGATGGCTTCATTCATGATGCCATCCATTGTATACTAGTGCCTAGCTGTGAATGGTCACAGCTAATCACATGCACATGTCAATAGCTGTGACCAAATGCACTGAATGTCATTCAGGTAAATGCTTGATTATTCTTTGCTATAAGCAAATTGTGTGATCCTTCCCCAAAATCAGTGTTACATGGTAAGCATTGTACTACAAAAAAAAAAAATCTTAAAAAAAAAAATAAAAAAAATGTAATAAAAAATTAAAAAAAAAAAAATACTGTCAAGTCAGTGTCGCTGTTCAATGCCAGTTTTATGAACGCTGTTTTTGACAGTATGTAAAAAAAAAAAAAATAGTGAAAATCATTTTTTTAATTTTTTCATTTTCCGAAAAATTATGACAAAAAAAATACAACTTCAAAAAACTCGCCATGCCTCTTATGAAGTACGTCGGACTGTCTACTCTGCAAAAAGGGGTCATTTGGGGGATATCTGTACTGTTCTGACATTCTTGGACCTCAAGATATTAGATTGGCTGTCAGTACTTCAGGATTGATCAATATTCAGATCTATACCATAGTTTGTGAACTCTATAACTTTCCTACAAACTAAAAAATACATCCTAATTTGGGTTATTTTCACCAAAGACATGTAGCAGAATACATCTTGGCCTAAATTTATGAAGAACAATTATTTATTTGTAAACTTTTATAACAGGACCAAAAATTTTGAAAAAAAAAACACATTTTTCTTTGTTTTTTTTTGTTAATTTAGCAAAAAATAAAACCCCCAGCGGTGATTAAATACCACCAAAAGAAAGCTCTAGTTGTGTGAAGAAAATGATCAAATTTTAGTTTGGGTACAATGTTGTATGACCCGCGCAATTGTCATTCAAAGTGTGAGCGCTGAAACCTTAAAACTGGCCTGGGCAGGAAGGTGTAAAATTGCACGGTATTGAAACGGTTAAGCAGAGGTGCTCTTAAAAACGAAAGGGGCTTTATGGCGACATAAACTTTTAATGTTATTTATTCATTGCTAGAAAATTCTTAGAATCACAAACATATATTTTTTAAAGCAGAGGCCCTAGAGAATAAATTAGTGAGGGTTGCCATTGTTCGTCACATGGTATTTGAGCAGCGGATTTTCAAAAGCAATTAAAAAAATGTATACACTTCTTTTTAATTTGAATGCAAAAAAACCAAAAAAAAAAAAAAAAAAAAAAAAACACCCCACAATATGTAACCCAATTTTCTATTAAAGATATTAGGCAGTGTAAATAGATACCAACCATGTCAGGCTTTAAAAATTTGCCTGCCCGTGCAACGGCAACAAACTACGTAAATTATATTATCCATAGTTGACTATCCAAAAGTCTTCACAGGTGACCACTTTAGATTTACAGATGAGTTCTGGAGCTAGAATTACTATCCATGAACTGGCGTTTGCAGTGATACCTTGCATGTGTGGAACGATCGCTGTTTGCATGCGTGGACTGACGCATGCATTTGCCTTTGCGCACAAGCACAGGGGGCAGGGATGCTTTAAAAGTTAAAAAAAAGTATTTATTTTTAGATAGTTGTCTATAATTTTTTTTTTAATCACTTGTGATAACAATAGGCAGTGACAGGTATTCTTTATGGTGAGATCTGGAGTCAATAAGACCCAGATCCCTCCTCTGCCCTTAAAAGCATTTGATCACACCACGATCAACGTGATCAAAAGCTTTCTATTTTCAAAATTGGCGCCGGGGAAACTGGAAGTCATGTATGGTTATCTCTCCTTGTTTCCTATGTCACAGAGGTGGACAGAGTGGTTTCAGTCTTTGTCTGCCTCTCGGAGGTGTAGCTTGAACCTTCAGGGCCCCATTGCAAAAAAAACAAAACGAAAAAAACAAAAACCCACACACACAACATGATCCCAAGGCCCTTTATTATGGTCCCGCCATGTGCCCCTTTCTTGTCGTCTTGGGGCCCTCCCATGGTGGAGGAACACCAGGGCTCAGTCGCAAGTGTGACCTTTGAGACCCTGGTAGTTCCACCACTGGGTTAATCATGTACAGTCATCAGGGATCTTATAGCAATGAACATTTAATTGCTAGAAGATCTCAACTGGACATGGTCAACCCTTTTATTGCTGGCAGATGGGATCCCAGTTGGAAGTGCATGATTAACCATTTCAGATGTGTTGGAAACGTATGATTAACTGTTTCAGTGCTAACTGAACCCTGATGGAAATGCATATTTCAACCAGGGATCTGCTAGCAAGGAAATGGTTAATCATACGCTTCCAACACAGATCTGAAAGGGTTAATCATGCACTTACAACTGGGATCTCATCTACCAGCAATAAAAGGGTTAACTATAGCCATTCATCTTCTAGCAATGAAAGTGTTAGCATGTGCTTCCTGGTCACTATATCTCTACTCAGCCGCTACACAGCATAAATACCAGTACTGCAGCCTTCACTCAAATCAGCACACCTGTGGTAAGAAGTGATCAACTCCGAGGCCTACTACACCCCCTCCTCGAGTTCTGCTCAATCACTGCGAGCCTCGCAGCAGGCTCCACCTCGTGGTCAGGAAGGAGTAGGACACTGGGGAGCCGCCTGATCTCTGCTAGGGGAGAAGGTACTGATCTGCATGCTCTGCAGTGCGTTCTACCACTGCCGCCACTATGATCAGCTGGCACAAGCGCCGGCTAATCGATAGGGACAGCTCACAGGAGGGCAGCTCTAAACCCTGCTGCTTGCCCACAGCAGGACTAAATGTAAAAAAATAAACTTCTTGCCCAGCACCCAGAACTGCATGTCCCAGGCATCAGGTGATAGGAATTCAGCATCCCTGTGTATGGGATTATGATGATGAGCAGGGTGGTAACAAGACTGGTCAAAGAAGAGTGATGTTGAGGGACCAGTTAGCATATAGCATATTCATCCCCTTGACATAACAAGCAACAAACCGATCATCATCTGGGACAACTGCCCAGGTTTGAGCTCTAAATTTATAATTGTTTTTTTTCTTTTAAATATCCATCTCCTGGAATGATTACATATTTTTTCATGAATGTTATTCAAACCTTTTTTCATACGACATTTGTAGCTTACATTTAATGGCCCTTTACCATTATCTACTATATTCAGTCCATTCACATTTAGGTGCAATTTGCAAAAAAAAAAAAAAAGGAAGGGGATATACTGTGCACGAAACAACCACGTTAGTAAACAAAAATCATAAAATCAAAGATGACAGTTTTGCTTAAATTTCTTGTTTAAAACTGTTATAGCAACAGATTGTTTAAAATGCAGATATAAGATATCTCAGTGTCCAAAAAAATGTCCGAAGTAGATGATTAATAGTGCAAGAAGTCACATTAAGGAAACACTTTACCCAGTCCAAAAAAAAAAAAAAAAGTAGTAAATTCCAAACGACTAGTTATTGCCACTTCCAAAATACTTCATATGTCTTCACTCACCCAGCTAGGACAGGGTTTGGAGACTACCACAGCTGTTTAGGTTTGTAAATTTTCCTCTTGCATCCTGATAAAGGATTGGCACTAGATCGATCTCCTGGTTGGTAGTGTCACATAGCTGCCAATGTAGTGCACTGTGAACAGACCTTACAAGAGGTCTATATGCCCTAGATGTAAGCTGTATGGAAATATCTTGATATGGCATTTTCATCCTGCCCAACACAACAAAACAGATGCTTGCTTCCATAAGATAAAATAATGAAACTAAAGAGTGCTGGGAACTAGAAGCTGGGTTGCATATTCCTGAGTTGCTGGGATTTGCCCAAGATGTCAGCAACTAGCCAAAGTGATGCAGGCTCCTGGTTTTCTGTATCTGCAAGCCACCCTCAACAGATACAGGGTGAAGTAAGACACAACACTAGGAAAATATACATTTACAGTCTTTTTTTTTTGTTGCTGTTCTTTTTAAATGAGGTGTAAAGTGTTCCTTAGAAATATGAGGAAAATAGGAATTGGTGTCTACATTCTGATAGCCAGTAGTTTCTTTATCATCAGAGGTGAAGCTCTGATGGTCTGTTTGGTGCTGGCAGGTCTCCATTCATTGCCCGTAGACTGTCTACTCCCAGATATCCCAGAAGAATCTCACTCCGTCTTCGGGAAAGGTGCAAGATGTCCTCTGCCAGTGACTGGACTGTAGTGTACCTCACTTTATCCAAGTCAAACATGTCCTTTAAATACTGCACAATTTGATGCTGTTTTGTGAAACAAAGACATATGTTATAATTGCTGGAAAACTCAATCTATATAAAAGCAGCAAGCAAGAAAAGAAGCCTCAATCTGAGACTGGTGGTTACAGATCATCCCCAATCCTCCACGATCACAGGAAATCTGTTGTGAGTGCAATACAAAAGCTGAGCTTCTTCAGAAAATGTCTGGCTGTCATACCAGTTCTCTGTTTCCAATATTTTATGAATCACTACAGAGAGAGCACACTTTTATCTGCATAATTGATTTAGGTCAGGGACCCATAATTTGTTGAGGCCAATTATTAGTTTGACAGATTAGAGGGAAAGATAGTGGGAGAGATATAGACTAAACTAAGAGAAAGGTAAATAAACTGGCCATTAACCGGCTGAATTTAATTCATAAGCTCCTAGTGGAGTCATCATTGTCCTCTCCAGGCTTTACGTTGGCCATACACTGTGCGAATTGAATCCAGTGGCCAAAATTCGCTTAGGGGGTGATCCTGCCAGCCCCCGCCTGCCCAGACAGAAAATGTTTGGAAGAACAGCGGCTGCAAACAATCAGATGCAGCTGCTATTTGGGTATTCCGACAGGCTAGCAGAGGGATTAAATCCATCCATGCTTGTATAACTTGGGTCAAGGGATCTGTTCAATTTTCTTTAAGCCCACAGGCATGGCCAGCCTTAAGGTGGCTCCACTATCTATGGAGGAGCAATGGAACCACCCATGGACAGCAAAATTGTCAACCTGTGCAGAAAGTAGTGTTAGAAGCACTAGGAGATTTAGATTGATTTGACTAACAAATTAAAGCCAAAAAGGAAATGGAGAGAAGTCAAATTTTTGCAAGAAAATCGTACCTACTTTCAGCTGCCTAACTCTTGAGCTACTAATCGTTTTGGCTTGCAGTTTTCACTGAAAGGAACATCTGCCTTGCAACCTCTGGTTCTATGCACTGTCCTGTCAATTAACTGTCAAATGCCAGAGTCTCTGATGCCACTAAGGTTCAGGCATTTTAATTATATCACGAGTCATGGCACATTCACACCATGGTGCAGAGACGTCAATTCTTCTGCACACGTTCTGTAAGGGCACAACAAAATCAATTGTTCTCTATATGCCCCGTTTACACCACAACAGTAGTATCACGTGCAAGTTTACATGTATAAAATAATCAAAGCGAGCATGAAAACTGATGAAAAAACCTTTTGTCTCTGCAAGTGAAATCTGCGAGTCAGTTTCCTTCAGTTTTTATGCACGAATGGTGTGAATGAGGCCTCAACATCCGGTCTGCAGACTGGGCCCAGTAACCTAAAGATGTAAGTATTAATTAAAAGACACAGATGGTTTTCTGATTTTGCAGTGTTTTTAAAGATAGTATTATCAGTTCACTGATTTACTAATCAATTCCTAGTCGCTCCCTGAAGGGAACCTATAAAAGGGTTCTATGTCGACGTATGCATCTGTTTAAAATTTATTTTTACAATTACAATCATTTAGAGAGTATGCTTTGACCTTAACAGCATATTGCACATTGGCATTGCTGTTTACACAGCATTGTTCTATAGGCCTGAATAAAATATCTGTCAGCTCTAAATAGGACTTCCCTCTCACTTTTCCTTAGGCAGGCCATAGATCATGCCAATTTCTTTCCCAATGAGCTACTGTGGTTTCCCGGTGGGGGAAGACAGCGATTATTGCTAGCGGCTACAACAGTCACTAGCAATAATCGCATGTAAAATCTGGCAGTCTGGTTGTACCCAAGTTGATCAATCACTTGCAACATTCAGCCTGCCCTTACATGGTTTGAAGATATCTGAACAGTCTATGGCTGGCTTTACAGAGAGCAGCGTGCACTATTAATGTGTACCTGTAATCCTTACTCTGTACAGTAAGCTATTTTGTTCTCTAAATTAGTTAGCATTCCCTGGAATACTGCATATGTACATGTCTATCACAAAAGAAGGAAGTACAAGTAAAAAGATAACCTTAAAGAAAGTACACATTTCTGTTAAATTCTCTTTTGGACCAAGAAATCCATATGCCAATATGGGGCTGACATGCTCCGATACGGAGTAGAAATGAGATATGAAGCCGTCTGGAACCTAAAAAAATAGATTAACATGTTATATATACAACTGTGCTTAACATGCAGACCAGTACATTCTACTCTATGGCTCTGGGGCAGAGATAAGCCACCAGCACTATGGCTGTCTATAGTTTGAACCAATTACAGTTTTGTAGTTCAAAGTAAAGGTTAATCGTATGTTTGCTGTCTTACTGGCTTTCTGTGCATGCACATGTTGGATCTATTTAACTGGACATATTTATAGAAGTACTGTACAGGTGAAACTCGAAAAATTAGAATATCGTGCAAAAGTTCATTTATTTCAGTAATGCAACTTAAAAGGTGAAACTAATATATGAGATAGACTCATTACATGCAAAGAAAGATAGTTCAAGCCGTGATTTGTCATAATTGTGATGATTATGGCTTACAGCTCATGAAAACCCCAAATCCACAATCTCAGAAAATTAGAATATTACATACAATCAATAAAACAAGGATTGTACACAGAACAATATCGGACCTCTGAAAAGTATACGCATGCATATGTACTCAGTAATTGGTTTGGGCCCCTTTTGCCAGCAATTACTGCCTCAATGCGGTGTGGCATGGAAGCTATCAGCCTGTGGCACTGCTGAGGTGTTATGGAAGACCAGGATGCTTCAATAGCGGCCTTCAGCTCTTCTGCATTGCTCAGTCTCATGTCTCTCAGCTTTCTCTTGGCAATGCCCCATAGATTCTCTATGGGGTTCAGGTCAGGCGAGTTTGCTGGCCAATCAAGCACAGTAATCCCACGGTCATTGAACCAGGTTTTGGTGCTTTTGGCAGTGTCCTGCTGGAAAATTAAGTCAGCATCCCCATAAAGTTCGTCTGCCGAAGGAAGCATGAAGTGCTCCAAAATCTCCTGGTAGACGGCTGCGTTGACCCTGGACTTAATGAAGCACAGTAGACCAACACCAGCAGATGACATGGCTCCCCAAATCAACACAGACTGTGGAAACTTCACACTGGACTTCAAGCATCTTGCAGCGTGTGCCTCTCCATTCTTCCTCCATACTCGGGGTCCTTGGTTTCCAAATGAGATGCAAAAGTTGCTCTCATCAGAAAAGAGGACTTTGGACCACTGAGCAATAGACCAGGTCTTTTTTTCTTTAGCCCAGGTAAGACGCTTCTGACGTTCTTTGTTGTTCAAGAGTGGCTTGACAAGAGGAATACGACATTTGAAGCCCATGTCCAGGATCCGTCTGTGTGTGGTGGCTCTTGATGCACTGACTCCAGCCTCAGTCCACTCCTTGTGAAAGTCCCCAACACTTTTGAATGGCCTTTTCCTGACGATCCTCTCCAGGCTGCGGTCATCCCTGCTGCTTGTGCACCTTTTTCTTCTACACTTTTCCCTTCCACATAACTTTCTATTAATGTGCTTTGATACAGCACTTTGGGAACATCCAGCTTCTTTTGCAATTACCTTTTGAGGCTTTCCCTCCTTATGGAGGGTGTCAATGATGGTTTTCTGCACAACTGTCAGGTCAGCAGTCTTTCCCATGATTGTGATTCCTACTGAACCAGACTGAGAGACCATTTAAAGGCTCAGGACCCCTTTGCAGGTGTTATGGCTTAATTAGCTGATTAGAGTGGGACATTTTGAGCCGAGAATATTGCACCTTTTCACAATATTCTAATTTTCTGAGATTGTGGATTTGGGGTTTTCATGAGCTGTAAGCCATAATCATCACAATTATGACAAATCACGGCTTGAACTATCTTACTTTGCATCTAATGAGTCTATCTCATATATTAGTTGCACCTTTTAAGTTGCATTACTGAAATAAATGAACTTTTGCACGATATTCTAATTTTTTCGAGTTTCACCTGTATGTTCCTGCTCTCCACAGCCAGTGATTCAAGGTTGCCAGAAATGTAAGAATTAATACCCATCAAGTTTTGATTTTGTCCATGTCTTTCTGTCTTGGTGAAAAGCATGCGCACGCGCGCACGCACGCACACACACACACTAAGGAAGTAGGACAGCCCCTTTAAGTACAGATATAATTAAAGGCCCAATAACATTAACAGAACCAAAGTGAAATCTTTTATACAGTAAGCCAACTAAAACTAGAAACCCAGTCACATGTATGCTTTTCCTTTATGTCAAAGTATCCCTGGGTTTTGTCTCCTTCACATACTGCCCACCAACATACCCTCCGCATTCCCCCTCCCCATCATATTTTCTACACTCTTCTCTTGCACATTTTGTCCACCATCATACCCCCTCTGTTCTCTTCTCCTGTAGACAGTGCCTGCCATCATACCCTCCACACCCCACTTCTTCACATACCATCCATACTCTCTGCACTTACTGCCCACCATCATACCCAATATTTAACGCTAGCATACCCCCCCCCCCCCCTCTTCTCTTGTACATATTGCCCACCACCATACCCTCCCCACCTCCTCTCCTGCATATGCTCTTTGCCATCATATCCTATTCACGCCACTCTTGCACATACTACCTACCATCATATCCTCTGCAATTCTGTCCTGCATATGCTGCCAGCTAAATCAGTTATTCAAAATAGTTTGAAGTATTCCTAAACTTGCCTGTTCTGAAACACATTTGTTAGTCAATATCATTTTGATTTTCAAAGTAGGACAATATTTACCATGAGAAGCCTTCGTTTAGCTTTTAAAACTGACCAGCATGCAGTTGCCAATGCCTGTAACATTGAAAGAGTTTTTGAATTAGGAACAGAAAAGCAATTAGACAAAACGAAAAAGAGCCTTCAAAACACAATTTAAGGCCAAACTGTAAACTAGCAGTTTTCAAGTAAACCCGTAATGAGAAAAATATGAGGCTACCATTGCTGACTTTCTCCCAGAAATACTAGTTGCCTGGCTCTCTCTCTCCAATACTCAAGTCACCTATTTGAGGAAAGTATGGAGATCAGGGAAGTCAGAATTCCTGGTGTACGTACATGTTTAAGTTGGTGATTTAGAAAGCACTAAAGCTACTGGATCAATACATCAGTCAGTGTTCCCAGATTACTGATAAAAGAAAGGGGCTGTACTGGTGCCTACAGCAATGCCTGTATTAAACAAAAAAAAAATAATTAAGCTCTGACCAGGTAAGCAGATTTTTCCTCAGTATGTATTTCAAGCCTTTTATATATTAAGCCAAATCTTTCTTTGTGATTTTGGATCAATTATGTAAACCCCTGTAATATTTTTTTTGCCATCTCACCCTTTGGGGAGATTTTCCTTCATTTACTGTCCTGTAGACAGAAGAGGAAATCTCTGCAAATCCCCTCTTAGACAGTCAACTAGTGTCCCTATTGAAGATTTACCCTCTATTCCTGTTCTGGTGACTATTCAAAATTTTGTGGTTTCCCTTTATTTTAATTCCAGTGACATTCCTGGACAAATAGAAAGTAAGTCTCCCTGGAGGGGACACCATATGTTCTAACACTTTATCAAAGCTTAAAAAAAAGAAAAAAAAAAAAAGGAAGTTGTGACTGTAGATGCACATTGATATTTGACACTGATAACTGTGATAGAAGAGTGTTGTTTGTTTTTTTTTTCTTTTACACAAACTGAGCAAAATTGTTTATCTGATGTAAGCAACATAGGAACATGCATATTTACTCACAGTTTCCTTGAAGCTGTCAGACAGCCAGCGGTTCCGCAAGACGGCAATTACTGAGGTCGGTGGATTTTCCAAGTCCTCAAAGGCATCCATTAATATAAAATCCAGTGCTATGTCAAAGAAATTCATGCAGACGACCTACAAAGTAAAAAAACATTTAGAGAGCGAAAGAAAACAAGGAGATATAGAGTATAACTGCTGGAGGAGGGGACCAAGTATATGACATCAGGGAACGGAATCAAGCCAATGCACTGCACAACTGCTGAAAGAAGAAACCAAACACCTGGCATTAGGGAAAGGAAACAAAGCGAAACCACATATGAAACCTGGAGGGACAGAGTATCTCACATTAGGAAGGAGATCTGGCGCTGTACAGATTATCACCCCTCTAAATGGATTACAGGGATTTGCGTACTTGTAATACCTCAGGGATACGATTAGTTGTAATCCTATTTTTTAAAGCTAGTCCCCAGGTCTCCTGCAGCTCTGGCAACATTGTGCCTACATATTTAGCATGCTTGCCTTGCAGCACTGGATTCTTGGGTTCAGTTTCCAACAAAGACATAAGCAGCATGGAGTTTTTGTGGGTCTCCTCCCACAACCCAAAACGTAGTGGCTGCCTAGCTGACTTTCATTCAGACTTTCCCTTTTCTGAGTTGTGGCAGATATATTGTCATCTGTTTGCTATCGGGGATTATTGGGAAAAGGAAGCACATACAAACTCCATGGAGACCATAACCTTTGTAATTATCAAACTCAGAACACCAGCTCTGCACGGCTAGAATGCTAAACAGAGCAATTTTGCTGCCCAATAGTCACATGAACCATTATCAGATGCTGCTTGGTAGAGAGAGAATTTACCATGTATATGTGGCAATTATCTGCAGAATAGAACTAACATGGCCTATTGTGTCATCACAACAATCAGTACATGGACTTCTTTACAGTATATCTTCTACTTCTATATCTTCTATTGTACAGCGCTGAGCAAACCCTTTGGCGCTATATAAACTCGATGTAATAATAATAATAATACTTACCCCGCGTCCTTCTAGTTCTCTCTGAGTAGTGGGCCACGTATCTTCCTTCAGTGCATACTGCACCATTTCTTCATAGTTCTCTATGAAACCCTTAGGATTCTGAAACAATTATATATAGCAGAAATAAAACCAGGTAAGTCAATACAAGAGTTTTTCAGGTGACCCGTTATCCCATCTAACTGTGCCTATGCAGAGAGGCTGATGTAAGCTCTTTATTGCTCCGTCTGTGCTGTCATAGCTCTCTAGCAATCTTTAGATAGCAGCTGTGAAACTCTGTGTGAAAATGGACTGACAAAGCAAAGCACAGCAAGTTGTCAACCACAAGAAAAAACAAAAAAAGAAAAGCATCATTTTACAAATTGGGAAAGGAGGGATAGGCTTTTGAAGGTGAAGTCAATTTTTACGTAACTGCTATCTAGGAATTGCTAGAATGATGTGTCTGGAGAAAGAGTACAACACGAAGCTTGCAATAACCTCTATGCACACGAACTGTCAAGATTAACTACTGTTAGATGAACTATCAAAAGACAAGGCAAGGGTCAAATTAGGCACCTATGCATTAGGAATAACTGATAAAACAATGCAGCAGGAACACGTTTTTGAACCAATCCCTCTTTATACAATACCAAATTAAAAAAGAAAAAAGCGCCACTTACAAAAAACACCAAAGTGTCAGCAGCATATCCCACCCAAAATAAATTTTGGCAACAACAATCCAAATTAAAAGGTATGCGCTAATAACAAACTTATACAAAAGTGTATGTCATCATCCAAAAAAACATTAGTGTTTTAAATAAATTATAGTGTCCAAACATAAAATTAGTGTCCAAAAAAATATATATAAGTGTCCAAAAAAATATATATATCTTCAGTGACTTGAACCAATTGTGAGAAATCCACCACCAAAGGAGATTAAATAAACTCACCAGAGCTAATGGCTGGTCAGATTATAAACCAGCAACAGCGCTTGTGCTCTGGGAGCAATGAACCCGATGCCCAAATAGATATGGTGATGTTTCAGATACTTCCAGATAATAATCACAGCCAAACAACTTTGCAGCCCAAGCTCTTATGATGAACTTCTCCACTCTCTCATACCTCCATGAGAGCATGCAGTACACTCAGGGACAAAAAAGAGAACATAATGGTGCAATACGTTTTTTTCATTTATCTCTTTATTAAAAAAGGTATAAGGAAACTCACAAACAAGGTGTCCAACAGACACCAGCTTCAATCGCAAAAAAAGGGTTGAGATACAGTTAACGCTCACCGCAGATCTCTCCCATACAGTACAGACCAGCAAGGCTCTCTAACGTCCACATCAAATAGGCTACGCCCGACCGGTTTCGTCACACCGACGTCATCAAGGGGCGGTACAGATGGGAACGTCAGACAGCTCTTATAAATACCACCCTTCATCTACATATTTTTAACACCCAGCCAATCACTGCGTTCCTAGTCTCCTTAATCACGCCGGCTAGAACAGGTGTTTCCCAATTTAATTATACATAAACTCTATTATATAAACAAAAAAGCTAAATATATATACCCTGCAGGTTTGAATCAGCACAATACCGTTCTCCTTCAAAATCACCCACAAAAAAATATAAATATAAAAACATAAATATATGCAGAAAAGCAATATATACCATCCTGTGCATGGCTCTTCAAACCACAGAAAAACCCTTAAAGGGCCATGCACAGAACTTAAAGCACAACTCTTCTCATACACAAAAAAATTAAAAAAAATATAAATTTTTTTTTATATAAAATATAAACCAAAATTAAAATAAACTATATATAACAATCACTACATGTAAGCAATATTTTAAAATATTTATCTTAAAAATTAGTCAAAAAACAATTTAAATCAATATCTATGTTTAAACCTCTTGGTACTAAAGACTCCAATTCATATATCCAAAAAGTCTCCTTTTTTGATATTTCTTTAATCAGATCTGAACCCCTCCAATGACTTTTTACTCTCTCAATTCCATAAAATGTCGCTAAACTCGCATCACTATTGTGTCTTAATTTAAAATGTCTTGAAACACTATGTTTGTCAAACCCTCTCTTTATATTGTTCAAATGTTCATTTATCCTAGTCTTCAACTGTCTCCCTGTTCTTCCAACGTACTGAAAATGACACGGGCATTCCAAAACATAAATCACATGAGAGGAATTACACGAAATAAGTTGTTCGATCTTATATTCTTTCTTAGTTATATTTGAAATAAATTTCTTCCTCTTTATTTTATTCGATCTATTTATCGTTCTACATGCTTTACACCTGTTACAATGAACAAATCCCTTCAAATCGGGAAAAAAAAAATCCACCTCTTTTGGTGTGGATCTAAAACATTATGCACTAATTTCGTCCTTATAGATCGTTTTTTCTTATAAATAAATTTAGGTTTTTTTGGGATGATCTTTTTCAATACCTCATCTTTTTAACAAAATCGGCCAATATTTCTTGAAAATACCCTCAATCTCTTTATACTGATTATTAAAGTTGGTAATAAAAGCCATATCAAAGTTGTTATTCTTTATCTTTCTATTAGACAGAAAAGTACTTCTATCCTTTTTATCAATCATTTCCCTTTCTGTTGACAAAAAAGGTTTTTTTTATATCCTTTCTCAATAAACCGATCGATCAATACATCAGTTTGATCAACAAAATCTTTCCTTAAAACTGCAATTCCTTTTAATTCTTGTAAACTGACTTCTTGGGGTATTATATAGCCATTTAGGATGATGTCCACTTGAAACAGGGATATAGCTATTTTTATCAATATCTTTAAAAAAAGTTTTAGTATAAATCTGTCCATCATATTTATATAAGATCAAATCCAAAAAATTAACCTTTTCAAAATCTTTAGTAACAGTAAACTTCAACCCATAACGGTTTTTATTAATATATTTTTGAAAATCCTTCAAGATCTATTTCAGAACCCCTCCAAATTACTATAATATCGTCTATGTAGCGCCTATACAGCGCCACCTGTGGCCATTTTTCAAATATACATTCTTCTTCCCATTTATCCATAACGATATTAGCTACACTGGGAGCATACTTAGCACCCATAGCAACGCCCCTACATTGCTGAAAAAAAGTATTATTATACCAGAAGAAGTTATTCGACATCATCACAAATTCTAGTAATTCACAAATAAATGCTCTTTGAGTTCTTTTAATATGTGATTTATGTTTCAATACCCATTTAACTGCTTTCAAACCATCATCTTGTTTAATGCTGGTATATAAGGACTCAACATCAATAGTGACCAAGTAGCAACCTTCAATATTCTCTAAACTCGCCAAAATACCAATAAGTTCTCCACTATCCCTTAAAAAGGAACGATTGTTCTTCACTATCGGTTGTAAAAATGAATCTTTTTTTTACAACCGATAGTGAAGAACAATCGTTCCTTTTTTAAGGGATAGTGGAGAACTTATTGGTATTTTGGCGAGTTTTAGAGAATATTGAAGGTTGCTACTTGGTCACTATTGATGTTGAGTCCTTATATACCAGCATTAAACAAGATGATGGTTTGAAAGCAGTTAAATGGGTATTGAAACATAAATCACATATTAAAAGAACTCAAAGAGCATTTATTTGTGAATTACTAGAATTTGTGATGTCGAATAACTTCTTCTGGTATAATAATACTTTTTTTCAGCAATGTAGGGGCGTTGCTATGGGTGCTAAGTATGCTCCCAGTGTAGCCAATATCGTTATGGATAAATGGGAAGAAGAATGTATATTTGAAAAATGGCCACAGGTGGCGCTGTATAGGCGCTACATAGACGATATTATAGTAATTTGGAGGGGTTCTGAAATAGATCTTGAAGGATTTTCAAACTATATTAATAAAAACCGTTATGGGTTGAAGTTTACTGTTACTAAAGATTTTGAAAAGGTTAATTTTTTGGATTTGATCTTATATAAATATGATGGACAGATTTATACTAAAACTTTTTTTAAAGATATTGATAAAAATAGCTATATCCCGGTTTCAAGTGGACATCATCCTAAATGGCTATATAATACCCCAAGAAGTCAGTTTACAAGAATTAAAAGGAATTGCAGTTTAAGGAAAGATTTTGTTGATCAAACTGATGTATTGATCGATCGGTTTATTGAGAAAGGATATAAAAAACCTTTTTTGTCAACAGAAAGGGAAATGATTGATAAAAAGGATAGAAAGTACTTTTCTGTCTAATAGAAAGATAAAGAATAACAACTTTGATATGGCTTTTTATTACCAACTTTAATAATCAGTATAAAGAGATTGAGGGTATTTTCAAGAAATATTGGCCGATTTTGTTAAAAGATGAGGTATTGAAAAAGATCATCCCAAAAAAACCTAAATTTATTTATAAGAAAAATCGATCTATAAGGACGAAATTAGTGCATAATGTTTTAGATCCACCAAAAGAGGTGGATTTTTTTTCCCGATTTGAAGGGATTTGTTCATTGTAACAGGTGTAAAGCATGTAGAACGATAAATAGATCGAATAAAATAAAGAGGAAGAAATTTATTTCAAATATAACTAAGAAAGAATATAAGATCGAACAACTTATTTCGTGTAATTCCTCTCATGTGATTTATGTTTTGGAATGCCCTGTCATTTTCAGTACGTTGGAAGAACAGGGAGACAGTTGAAGACTAGGATAAATGAACATTTGAACAATATAAAGAGAGGGTTTGACAAACATAGTGTTTCAAGACATTTTAAATTAAGACACAATAGTGATGCGAGTTTAGCGACATTTTATGGAATTGAGAGAGTAAAAAGTCATTGGAGGGGTTCAGATCTGATTAAAGAAATATCAAAAAAGGAGACTTTTTGGATATATGAATAGGAGTCTTTAGTACCAAGAGGTTTAAACATAGATATTGATTTAAATTGTTTTTTGACTAATTTTTAAGATAAATATTTTAAAATATTGCTTACATGTAGTGATTGTTATATATAGTTTATTTTAATTTGGTTTATATTTTTTATAAAAAATTTTTTATTTTTTTTAAAAATTTTTTGTGTATGAGAAGAGTTGTGCTTTAAGTTCTGTGCATGGCCCTTTAAGGGGTTTTTCTGTGGTTTTGAAGAGCCATGCACAGGATGGTATATATTGCTTTTCTGCATATATTTATGTTTTTATATTTATATTTTTTTGTGGGTGATTTTGAAGGAGAACGGTATTGTGCTGATTCAAACCTGCAGGGTATATATATTTAGCTTTTTTGTTTATATAATAGAGTATATGTATAATTAAATTGGGAAACACCTGTTCTAGCCGGCGTGATTAAGGAGACTAGGAACGCAGTGATTGGCTGGGTGTTAAAACTATGTAGATGAAGGGTGGTATTTATAAGAGCTGTCTGACGTTCCCATCTGTACCTCCCCTTGATGACGTCGGTGTGACGAAACCGGTCGGGCGTAGCCTATTTGATGTGGACGTTAGAGAGCCTTGCTGGTCTGTGCTGTATGGGAGAGATCTGCGGTGAGCGTTAACTGTATCTCAACCCTTTTTTTGCGATTGAAGCTGGTGTCTGTTGGACACCTTGTTTGTGAGTTTCCTTATACCTTTTTTTAATAAAGAGATAAATGAAAAAAACGTATTGCACCATTATGTTCTCTTTTTTGTCCCTGAGTGTACTGCATGCTCTCATGGAGGTATGAGAAAGAGTGGAGAAGTTCATCATAAGAGCTTGGGCTGCAAAGTTGTTTGGCTGTGATTATTATCTGGAAGTATCTGAAACATCACCATATCTATTTGGACATCGGGTTCATTGCTCCCAGAGCACAAGCGCTGTTGCTGGTTTATAATCTGACCAGCCATTAGCTCTGGTGAGTTTATTTAATCTCCTTGGTGGTGGATTTCTCACAATTGGTTCAAGTCACTGAAGATATATATATATTTTTTTTGGACACTTATATATATTTTTTTTGGACACTAATTTATGTTTGGACACTATAATTTATTTAAAACACTAATGTTTTTTTGGATGATGACATACACTTTTGTATAAGTTTGTTATTAGCGCATACCTTTTAATTTGGATTCCTCTTTATACAATACCTTCTCAGCTCTGACAATCAGTCCTGTCACCATTTGTTTCCCGACTTCACCAAAGAACAACTGGTTCCCGTCATCCTGAAGTAATTGCTGCAATCAGAAAAAAAAAGTTATTTTTTGCTGATAAGGTTGACCACAGACACAGGGATATGTAACCAAAATTTGAATGCTCTCGAGCACCTTACACACAGTCACTCATTTACATTTAAAGCTAAACTCTGGGCATTAACCCATCTTCCCTAAAGGGTACCCAAGCTCTGTGTAATGCAACTTTGTATACACTTCTCTTTTTTGAAGTCTTTAGGATGGTCACACGAAACCTCAATGCTAGCACATTACTGAATTCAGGAAGCACCATGCACTTACAGTATGTCTTCTGGGCTGAATGATGCTGGGCACCATTCAACCAAAAGAAAAAAAGTACTGTGGGGGACATCTCCAGATTGAAGGTGGGTATTGCAACCTAAGCATTTTGTGTAATACAGATTGAGGCTCCAATTTAAAGTCAAATATCTCAACTGTGCTTTAAGCCTATGTAGCAGGGCAGGAAAGACAAGTTAAGCAAAAGCAATACCCATATATTATTAGTCTTTCGATTCAGCTGTTTTTGCTGCTGAATTGGGGGACACGCAGTCAATGTCTTTGAGCACCTGTTAAGTATACAGGTCTGTAAAATAAAGATTGAATAGATCCTTAAAAGTGCTAAATCTTCATGAAGTCAAAAGTCACACACTGTCTACAATGTTTCATTCTACATTACAACACTGTAATCTTGAATGAATAAACAAGAAAACATTTTGTTTCAGTTACCTGAAAAGCCTGACGGACACAGTGCAATTTTGCCAAAAAGTCCTGGTCATTATAACAACCCAGCAGCTCCGTTCTTTAAAAAAAAAAAAAAAAAAAATACATACATTATTATTATACAGTATTTTACAAAGTGCCAACAGTTCACTCAGCGCTGTACATTACAGAGGGGGACAGAACATGCGACAGTACAGTAACAATACAATGCGATACACGAGGGGTTTGAGGGCCCTGCTCGTTCGAGCTTACAATCTAGGACATACATACATGAAGGCTTTTAAAAAAGAAAAATATTGAAACATCTCGGTACCATTTTTAGACCAAACTTGATGCATGTAAAAGGCAGCAAGAAGGGTGTTTCAGCATCTCCAGATTACTGACAAAAGAACAATGCAGTGACGTACTACAGGATGAAAACCAGAAATGCTCTGCGGGTGGGTTCTGCTTTCTATATGCATCTGAAGGTCTGATGCTTACTAGATTGCACGATTAGGCTAGGTTGACATTAATGTGGTTCAGCGAGCTGCATTTTGTGCGGGCACCCTAGCCCATTCATTGAATGGTTTCCTGTGCCTCCTGAAATGCAGGGAAAAATGGTCCCTGCACCATTTCTGGAATCACATGGAAGTGCAAGTGCAGTGTGGTTCCCAGTGCGCGAGTGATTTCTAGTGTGTGCCACTAGGATAAATGGCATGCGCACGCATCCCCAGCAGGTTTCTGTGCAAGTGGTCGTGGGCACAAATGTGAACCTAGCCTTAAAGTGTACAGGCAGTACAGATAGAAGTATAATCCAGGGAGGACAGAATTTATTCCTGGTTTGCCACTATTCACCATGAGCCAGCCTTACATAGACCCAACACCCCCATGCTCTTCTGGCATATGTTGCCCACCTCTACTCTCTACATATGTAACCAACTCTGATGTAAACACTATATTGGTTAGTAAGAAGAGCAAAATGGACTATTCAAAAGGTACGATTTTATAGTAAAGGTTCACGGTATACAGTTTGCAGGGGTTATAGAGTACTGTAATGAAAACTTACCCTTTCAAGGGGTTTACTGTTTTCATCAAAGAAATGGAAAAAGCACTGTATGTCATGTATCTAGGGTTGTCTTTTTATAATGAATCAACTATGTGGTTTCAGCATTGTGCAGCTTTAGTCTCGGAAACCCTTAGATTTTAATAAGCTTTGACACTAGGACTGTGTTGCATTAGAATAAGCTGAACTGATTTGAGTCTTAGGGCTTCTGTGGCTTTCTTGTGCATAAAAAAACAAACAAAAAAAAAAAAAAAAAAAAACTCTTTAATAATTACATCGCCAGACAGCTGAAAAAAAAAGACACAAGTGGTTCAACCAATAGAACAAAAATTAATATATTGAAAACTTCCATATTCAAACCCCTATACCCACAGTTAATCCAGAGGAAAGAAAAACCCCTTAAAGTAATACAAAAACCAAAAAAACAACTTTTAATATTGCAGTTTACCAATTCTTAGATGTAGTGGATTCTTAGATGCGGTAGCTGTATTAGTTTTCTTTTCTAAACATTTTTATTTTCACCTGTTGATCAAGCCATATGTCTGTTATTTTTCAACTTCCTTTTAACAGACCAAGCTGTCCAGCAAACGTGTCAGTTAGAGGGTGAAGACAAACATTTAAACAGGGGTGTTTAAAATGGACAGTCTTTAGTCACTTATTTAAAACCTTTATCCCAAAAATATAATGAGTTTAAGTTGTAACTGCTTAACAAGCATTAGCTGGAGCTTCACTTTTAATGTGTTAGTCAACTCCATCTAACTCTGCTATGGCATCTGCCGCCACCATCTCCCCAGACTGACAATGCTGCTGTCCAAAGTTGTCTCCGTTTCTCTTGCAACCAAAATGGAGACTCTCTAAAGCCAGCCATAGACAGTTCGAATCTCGGCTGGTTCAGCAGAAACCGGCAGATATTCAAGCCATGTATGGGCAGGCTGAATATTATTGATTGATCAACTTGGGTACAACCAGCCTGCTGGATTTACACCCTGTCTTTTACACCGTCTATGGCCTGCCTAAAGACAAGTGAGAGGCAACGCAATATGCTGTTATCAGGTCAAAGAATGCTCTCTATATAATTGTTAAATTGTGTAAATAAGGATTATAATAAATGTTAAACAGATATACATGTAATCACTGTGTTCTCCCGTTTGGGTTGGGACGGCTCCCCCTGCCAGGAAAACACAATGGCTCAGCGGGAAGGATTCCTCCATCAACACTGGCTGCGATATAGAGCAATTTTCTTTCCTGCAACTTGTGGTTATAGTAAAGAAAATCTCTCCGTCAATGGCTGGCTTAAGACAAAGTGTGCTACTGACTGGACCTAGAACTGAAAATAAAGGAAAAAAAAACCCCTACAAAATAAATTGACTGCGGCCACCACATTTAGGGTTTGGTAAGCTGCAATATATAATATGTTTAAAGCATGTTCTAGTTTGCTCAGGTGGATCCAGATTAGACATACCAGAACTATCAGCTCTGTAACAACTGTATGGTCAATTAGTATCCAGCTGTGGGGAAATGTCCGTACCTTATTGTCCTGCAAGCCACTTCTCCTGCATGTACCAATTTTAGTGCTTCTTCATATGCTGCAGCAGGCTTTTGAGGAATAAAGGGGCCCTCGTTCAGTTGTAAAGTGTCAAACAGCTGAAAGTCAAGTCACATGTATGAATATCAGCACATTGAGCGGTAACAGTTGCAAGGTTGAGTTTTTAAATTGAGGATGTGGGTTTTCATCCAGCATAGTGAATGTGGAAAACTATACAGACCTTTCTAAAGGCCAGTGGGTTCAAGCAGTAGAGTATTCTTCAATATTACATAGCAATGTTCTCACCTCAGCAGCTGAGAAAAAGGAGTCATCGGATATGGTGCTGATCTCATCATCCATCTGCAACATCCTCTTTGCTTCCAGATGAGGAAACATCAATGCTCCTTCTACAGAGAGAAATGGAAAGATGCACAATGTAAAGCACATCAGGTATCCAAAGGGGAATATTTAATCTTTAAGGCTCGGTTCACACTACTGCGAGGTAATTTTGACAAGAATTTTAATGTGATTGTGTAGTGGTTGCAACTTTGCAAAGTAGCACAGGAACCTTTTCCAGAATCGCACCATGCCTAGTTGTATTGATGTGAACGGGCGCCATTGATAATAAAGTAATGCAATAGCATGCGATTCTATGCAACTCAAGTCGCATCAAAAATTGCATTAGTGTGAACAGAGAAATGCAGAATTAGAAAAGAAGTGGAAACAAACATCTGCAAACAAACTAGTAGTTTCAATGAATTCAAATTGAAGCAAACCTGAATTTTAGATAAAACCCATACTCCTCTTCCTGACCTGTGTTTTTAGTATAGCAGCTTCCAAATCCAAAATCAGTGCTCCACTCCCTTTAGCACACTGCTTGGTGATAAGGGAGGGGGGGGGGGCAGTTCAGCAGGGTCCTTGCTGTCAGATTGCAATGACCCTTTGGGGGGATTCCTGCATTCACCTTACTTGTGTGCATTCATGAATCTACTTGTTTATTTTGTTCAGCCTATTGGCTGAATGAACAAAAACTAAAAAAAAAAAAAAAAAAAAAAAAAAAAAATAATCTGTGTGTACCCAACTTTAAGACACTGCTAATCTCACAAGATTTGGTGATGGCACTAATCACAATGTGACTTCCTGAAGAGGAAGGTGTATCCAAGGACCTGCAGTGCAAGGATCTCCTCGCTTTTGCTGCATTAATGTTGCAGATCTGTGCTTCCTCCACCTCTGACCTTTGATCATTACCCCATCAGTCTTCAACTATTACTAAGGGGGCAGCTCTGAGTTGAGAGAGCAAAGCCTTTCTCCTCTAGCAAGTTGGCCACCCTCAAATACAATTCAGAGTCTCATTTAATTATTATGTAATAATTCCTGGAGGCAGATGCTCCATATTCTGAGTGGTAGGAGAGGAGAGAAAGCGGAGGGGATTTCAAATCCCCGCCGCTTTCTCTCCACTCTTTGTAGAGATGACAGTTCGGGGTAGAGGACTTTTGATTGGTCAGCAGCACCGTCACATGGATGGTGCTGACCAATCAGATGCAGTCTAGCAAGAACTGTCATCCCTGCAAGGAGAGAGAGCCACTTCACAGGTCTGGGGATTTGAACTTGCCCTGGCTTTCTCTCCTCTCCTTGCAGCGAGGACAGTACGGGCTAGACGGCATTGGATTGGTCAGAACCGTCCACATGACGGCGCTCTAGCCCAAACTGTCATCCCTGCAAGGGAGAGAAAAGAAAGTAGCGAGGATTTCAAATCCCTGCCGCTTTCTCTCCTGTCCTACAACTGAGACTGAGCATGAGATGCCTGCAGGGAGGTTTCCCACTCCACTCATGTGTGAACTTGGGTTATGACAAGCCTGGGTTCACAAAGGAGCAGTGGGGAAAACGCATGCAATTTGGCCAAAAATCAAATTTTCTGTTCAAATCGCATGCAAATCTTTGCGATGCAATTTGCGTCCATTAATGCAAATCGGTTAAGGTATCAGGAGTATTTTCACAAGTACGGGTACTCGTGAAAATACTCGATATCGGCACAGATACCAATACCGGTATCGGTGCATCCCTAGTTTGAAAGCATAAATATATCAAATGACCTCAGAGCCAATGGCAGCAAGTAATTATGTACATTATGTAGGCACAGAACACTATTCTGGAGTAACCGTATCTTGGGAATCTAGCCACGGGGACGAGACCTTATTGAACTCCTTGGGGTATCCCCTCTTCTCATATGTCAATTTGTACATGGGAATTGCCTTATTAATAAGAGCAATCCAAAAAGATATGGAGAGGACAGTGGATTTCCAATTCATTGTTATTCATTTCTTAGCATAGAAAAACAGTAAATTTAAAAGTTTTTTAATTCCATTAAGGAGAGTGTCATCCTCCACATAATGTCTTATCATAGCTTTAGCTATTAAGCTCTATAGACACACTTTTCAGTGAAGCAAGTATGGTTAGCCTGGTAAACATGTAGGACAAAGCCTAGAGCTTCACGTACAGATGAAAATAATTTTAATATATTCATATGCAATATTTCATATATATCTCCTTCCTCCCATGATGCAGTGCATGGTGCCTGAATGGCAAATATTCAGCCTGAGCATTGTCACCTGGGCACAGGTTGAAGGTAGTTAGGCCTGCATAAACTATGACACAGACCAATACTGATATTACACACAGTAAGGCAACAGCAGGTGCAAAGGGAATAGCAGCATAGCTTTAAATTTTTTATTTGCTGAGAAAACAACACTGATGTTTTGAAGAGGGACAGAACACATTCAGATCACTCATTAGTTACCTAGATCCATCAACATGTTATCTTGGGGAATGCTGGTGCCAAACTCTTCCTGAAGATTATAGGCACGACTCAACAAGGCTTCTAGCCTGCCTGACAACTCTTTGCTCTGTGAAACCTAAAACAAGAACATTAAAATATGCTAATAAAATTTATGATAACTTCCATAAAACAAAAGTTATCAGCTGTATATGCTGGGATTAACAGTTTTATAAATAGAACGAAAACTTATTACAGACAACAGGATACCATTAGGTCCTTGCAAGTGTTGTAGCTGCTTGCCTACATTTTCAGCTTTGACATCAGTTTCTGGCCAAATGAATTTCACTCACAAAATTACAGGCAGAATTCTCAGTGCTGTTACTTGCTTATTGTGACATACTGTACTTTGTCCACACTCATCTTTTTAGGAGTTGCTTCTAAGCTAGACTCACTGTACTGACCATACTGTTCATCTGCCATAATACAAAATTAATTTTCTGGTACAATCATTTTTATTGAAAATCGAAAGAAATACAATGCATGAAGCACCCATGCAGGGGGCTTTGTACAGCCATATATACAATGGGGAAAATAATTATTTGATCCTCTGTAGATTTTGTAAGCTTGCCCACTTACAAAAGTTTTATCATAGGTGTATTTTAAAATGATAGAGACAGAATAACAACCAATAATCCAAAAAAAAAAAACACATGATACAAATGTTATAAACGGAGTTGCAATTCAGTGAGTAAAATAAGTATTTGATCCCCAACCAACAATAATTCTGGCTCCCACAGACTGGCTATTTGCTCATGTTAGTCCTGTCAATTTAGGAAGGTGCTCCTAACGACAACTCGTTATGTTTATAAAAAAGACACCTGTCCATAGAATCTCTTTCTCCCATTATGGGCAAGACCAAAGAGCTGTCACAGGATGTCAGGGACAAGATTGTAGACCTGCACAAGGCTGGAATGGGCACAGGAGAACAAAAGGAAAGGAGACAACTGTTGGAGAAATTATTCACAAATGGAAGAAATACAAAATAACCATCAATTGCCCTCAGTCTGGAGCTCCATGCAAGATTTCGCCTCATGGGGTAAGGATGATCATGAGAAACGTGAGGAATCAGCCCAGAACTACAGGAGGAGCTTGTGAATGGTCTTAAGGCAGCTGGAACCACAGTCAAACAAATCATTGGTAACACAATACGCCACCCTGGATTGACATCTTGCAAGGTCCCCCTCCTCAAGAAGGCACATGTACAGGCCCATCTGAAGTTTGCCAATGAACGTCTAAAAGATTCACAGAAGGATTAGGAGAAAGTGCTGTGGTCAGATGAGACCAAAATTGAGCTCTATGGCATTAACTCTGGAGAAAGTACAGAGAAGGGCAGCCAAACTGATGAGACATGGAGGTGCTCAGCTATGAGGAAAGATTAGAGGAACTGAATTTATTCTCACTTGAGTATTAACTAAGTATTAAAAAGTGAAAGTTTGATTTATGATTATTATTCTGTCCCATTACTTTTGGTCCCTTAACAAGTGGGAGGCACATATGCAAACTGTTGTAATTCCTACACCGTTCACCCTGATTTGGATGTAAATACCCTCAAATTAAAGCTGACAGTCTGCAGTTAAAGCACATCTTGTTTGTTTCATTTCAAATCCATTGTGGTGGTGTACAGAGCCAAAAATTTTAGAATTGTGTCCATGTCCCAATATTTATGGACCTGACTGTACATCAGTGGTTCATATAGTGAACTCGGTGTAGAGTTATTCACCCTGAGGTCATCATAGAGGACAAAGGGGCACTCTGTATGTCTGAAGGAAAAGAAATGTAATCTCCAAACATGGAAAGGTTTCTTCACAGTAAGAGCTGTGAAAATGTGGAATAGATTCCCTCAAGAGTTGGTTCTGGCCAGATCAGTGGATTGATTTAAAAAAAGGCCTGCATTTTTTTTTGGATACACAGAATATAACTGGATACTAACATTTATAGGTAAAGTTGATCCAGGGAATATCTGATTGCTTCTCGTGAGATGAGGAAGGAATTTTTTTTCCCCTGCAGGAGAAATTGGATCCTGCTTTCCTGTTTTTTTTTGCCTTCCTCTGGATCAACTGTGGGTGTAGGATTACAACTTTTTTTTTTGTTATGGTTGAACTGGATGGACTTTTGTTTTTTTTCAGCCAGACTATGTAACTCCCTGTTTGGAGGGAAGAACAAAAAAAAAAAATGCTGACTAATACCCTAAAAACACCATCCCTACAGTCTAGCACAGAGGTGGAAACATGCTTTGGGGCTGTTTCTCTGCTAAAGGTACAGGCTAACATTGCTGCATTGAGGGGCGAATGGAAGGGGCCATGTATTGTAAAATTTTGGATAAGAACCTTCTTACTTCAGCCAGAACACAGAGGATAGGTCTTCCAGCATGACAATGGCCCAAAACATACTGGCAAGGCAACAAAAGGAGTAGTTCAAGAAGAAATACATTACAGTCATGGAGTGGCCTAGCCAGTCTCCAGACCTTAAAACTATAAAACATTTATGGGAGGGAGCTGAAACTTGCCAAGAAACCTTAAGGATTTAGAGAAGATCTGTGAAGAAGAGTGGACCAAAATCCCTCCTGAGATGTGTGCAAACCTGTAATCAATTACAAGAAACGTCTTACCTCTGTGCTCCCCAACAAGGGTTTCTCCACCAAGTACGGAGTCATGTTTTGCTTGGGGATTAAATACTTATTTTACTCACTGAATTGCAACTCAATTTATAACATTTGTATCGTGTTTATTTCTGGATTTTTGGTATGATATTCTGTTTTGATAAATTAAAATACACCAATGATAAAAATCATACACCTTTCATTTATTTGTAAGTGGGCAAACTTACAAAATCTGCAGGGAATCAAATAATAATTTTACCCACTGTAAATGAAAATTGCTTATACTCTCAAACAGCAATTGTCAAAAAAGGGTGGGTGCATGCATGGCAGTATAATTAACTATTACAAAGACTTAACAATTTGGCCACAAAATGCAAGCCGTCGCCGTAAACAACTGGCTTGGTCAAGAGACCCAAATTAGTAATAATAAATATTTTTCATACAATATTCTCATGTCACTGACCCTATAACGGTTTTTTTCTTTATAGGGGTACACAGATTAGGCTTAGAATGTGGCTGAGAGTAGGGTTAGAGTTAGTTAGGTTTTGATTTAACTTCCACTTTAATTATTTTTGGTAATTCATATCTGCATAATTCATATCTGCATTGGGAAAGTTACCACCATCCTAACTAGATTTTATATATCCCATAAGATAAGTTTATATTTTTTCTCTAGACAGTAAGGTTCGGCTAAAAGAAACCCTCATTGGTCAAGGAGACCCACTTCAGAGAAGCCATAGTTTTTCTACAATATATGGATTCTACAGCTGTATGTAGTATAGAATAATTAGTTCTATAATATTAGGCTGTATCTGTGCACAAACCAGTGGTTATGGTTACACAAGGCAAACAGGCAAAAAAAAAAAAAAAAAAAAAAAAAGAAGGATTTGCGTAGCTCAGCCTACTACCTGAAATGAGGAATACACACACTTCTTAAAATTTGTTTTGAAAATATGCTCTATTCCTTCTGTTTCAATGAGACTATTTTGCTTCAACCTATTAGATCTTTTGCTTAGGTCATTTAAATATCCCAACCACCATCACCCAAAAGGGGGAGCCCCAATATACGTTTGCTGGCAATAGCATCCTAGTGAATATCTAGCAGTGGTATCTCTATATGACCAGTACACCTCCACCTTCTCCTGTGACTGAACAGATCCCTGATGATGCTGGCTTAGATAGGGTGCCTGATATGAACCAGTGCAAAACAAAGTAATTTTAAAGAAGCCACATACAGGGAAAAATATGTGGCTGCTGTTACATTTACCATTTTTCAAAGTGCAAAGAATTTAAAACAAAACTTTATTACCCCCCTTCCCCCAGTCACTTGTGGATAGTTGTCAAGATAGTGAAACTTTGAATACCACAAACAATTGGCTCATAGATGTCCAGCCTTGAACAAAAACCATGGCCACACTGTATGTGAATGAATTTTAGCAAAGTGTATTATTTTCTGGGAACTCACCTCCTCCAAGCTCTCGGACATGCTGTCTTCATGGAGTTCAGTTGCATGAGCTGTAGGGGTGCTGGAGCTGCATCGCTGGCCAATGTTCAGTGCCTGCTCCCACTTATGCAGAGCCTCTTCAAACAGCTCCATTCCTGGCCACCAATACAACGAAGACATCCATTTATTACAGTTTATAACAGAATACATAAATGTGCCATCATAACCCTCTGAATACCATCCAAAAAGGATATTAAAGGGCAAGTATACTTTCTACTGGTCAGCTCAGTAGATTGTTTTTTTTTTTTTAAAAAAGAGCTGGATGCATTTCTAATTGCACAAAAGATAACTGGATACTAATATGTAAAGGTAATAAAACCAGGGAAAGTTGATCAAGGGAATTTTGCCTCCTGGGGGATCAGGAAGGAATTAATTTCCCCCATGGAGCAAACTGGATCATGTTTTATTGGGGGGGGGGGGGGGGGGGTTGGCTGCCTCTGGTTCAACTGTGGGTACAGGATTGTGTATCTGAAGGTTTTCTATTCGTTTGTGCCTTTTTTTTTTTTTTTTTTTTAATTGGTTGAACTAGATGGTTCAACCTGACTAATCATACACTGCTCAAAAAAATTAAAGGAACACTTTGAAAACACATCAGATCTTAATGGGGAAAAATATCATACTGGATATCTATACTGATATGAACTGGGTAAAGTGTTGGGAACATAAATATGCCCCATCATTTGATGGAAATTAAAATTATCAACCTACAGAGGACTGAATGCAAAGGCAACCCGAAAATCAAAAGTGAAAAAAAACAATGCAGCAGGCTAGTCCATTTTGCTGAAATTTTATTGCAGCAACTCAAAAATGGTACTCAGTAGTTTGCATGGCCCCCACGTGCTTGTATGCATGCGTGACAACGCTTGGGCATGCTTCTAATGAGACAACAAATGGTGTCCTGGGTTATTTCCCCCAGATCTGGACTAGGGCATCACTGAGCTCCTGGACAGTCTGATATCCCAGAGGTATTCTATTGGATTTAGGGCAGGCGAAACTGGGGACCAACAAGTGGTATCAATTACTTAATAGTCCAGGAACTGCCTATATACTCTCGCCACACGAGGCCGGGCATTGTCGTGCACCAGGAAGAACCCAAGACCGACTGTACCAGCGTAGGGTCTGACAATGGATCTAAGGATTTCATCCCGATACCGAATGGCAGTCGGGGTGCGATTGTCTAGCCTGTAGAGGTCTTTGCGTCCCTCCATGGATATGCCTCCCCAGACCATCAATGACCCAACAAAATGGTCATGCTGAACGATGTTACAGGCAGCATAACATTCTTCACAGCTTCTCCAGAACCTGTCACATGTACTCAGAGCGAACCAGCTCTCATCTGTGAAAAGCACAGGGTGCCAGTGGCGGACCTGCCAATTCTGGTGTTCAGTGGCAAATGCCAATTGAGCTCTACGGTGACGGGCAGTGAGCACAGGGCCCGCTAACGCCACCCCTCTGTCCATGGTTTTGCGTACCATCACTGACCCACCACCAAATCGGTCATGCTGAACAATGTTACAGGCCTCATAACGTTCTCCACGGCTTCTCCAGACCCTTTCACATGCTCAGGGTGAACCTGCTCTCATCTGTGAAAAGCACAGGGCTACAGTGGCAGACCTGCCAATTCTGGTGTTTAATGGCAAATACCAATTGAGCTCTATGGTGCCGGGCAGTGAGCACAGGGCCCACTAGAGGATGTCAGGCCCTCAGGCCACCGTCATGAAGTCTGTTTTTGATTGTTTAGTCAGAGACATTCACACCAGTGGCCTGCTGGAGGTCATGGCAGTGCTCATCCTGTTCCTCCTTGCATAAAGAAGCAGATACCGGTCCTGCTGATGGGTTAAGGACCTTCTATGGCACTGTCCAGCTCTCCTAGAGAACTGCTTGTCTCCTGGAATCTCCTCCATGCTCTTTAGACTATGCTGGGAGACAAAGCAAAACCTTCTGGTAATGGCATGTATTGATGTGCCATCCTGGAGGAGTTGGACTGCCTGTGCAACCTCTGTAGTGTCCAGGTATCGTCTCATGCTATCAGTAGTGACACTGACCCTAGCCAAATGCAAAACTATTGAAAAACAGTCAGAAAAGATAAGTAGGGAAAAAAATGTCAGTGGCCTCCACCTGTAAAACCATTCCTGTTTTGGGGGTCATCTCATTGTTGCCCCACCTAGTGCACCTGTTAATTTCATTAACACCAAAGCAGCCGAAACTGATTAACAACCCCCTCTGCTACTTAACTGACCAGATCAATATTCCAGGAGTTTAAAATGACTTGATGCTTTACTCCGATTAAAAAGTGTTCCTTTAATTTTTTTGAGCAGTGTATATTATACAAGAGTCATTTTAACTACCCTCAAACACAGCAGATGAAAAATACCTTGAACATAAAGGTTCTCTGCATTAGAGTCATCCGCAGCTAACTGTTCATCCATCTCTCGAGACCCCCATGGTTCCAGGGATGGGGCATTTGCACTGGAGGAGTTGACTGCCACTACCTACCAAACCAAGAAAAAAAGAAAAAAATACAGCATATAAGAGGAGCACTAAGAAAAAAGAAAAAAATACACAGATGGAATTTATATTTGAGAACAGTTTTACCTGCCAAAGGATTTTTATCCCTGCCCAACCAGTCCTTAGAATTACACAGCTCTGACAACCATCACAGCCAGTTACGAAAACAGCCTGGACAGTGAATGAACAGCAGCACAATGATAATGTATTACTTTTCACCTCCTGTTACAGTTCCTTTTCATTACATGCACTGCAGCACATGACTAGCCCCAGGTACTCCCCATCCCTCCTCTCCCAGCGTGAGTTCTGTTGTAATTAGCAGAAAACAGGAGGTTGGTATCAGGGTTAATTTAGGTACTTTCACTGCTGCAAGTAAAAAATTTTCTTTTCTTTATCTTCTTGGAGTTTACCTTAAAGTGGAGCTCCACCCAAAAGGGGAAGTTCCACTTTAAGGACTGCTCCCCACTATGGATTGGAACCTTTGAGAGGCGGGGGGGGGGGAGAGCGGGTACCCAAATTTGACAGGAAACAGAAGGTGTCCTCCCTCTCTGACACGTGACCCGTATTACCAGAAGACTACAGGACAATTCATGAAGTGCAGCGCTATTCGCGCATGCGCAGTGGGTACACAGTTCTGAAGCCGCAAGCTGCACAGCCGGGTGCCCACACTGAAGATGCCAGGCTCTTGGAATACAGGACGGCCGGTGAAACAGACTGCGGGGGACACACCATGGGACCGAGGGACAGGTAAGTGGCTGTTTTTTAAAAGTCAGCAGCTACAGTTTTTGTAGCTGCCGACTTATTTTTTGACAGGGTGAGTGGAACTCCGCTTTAAGTCCCTGGTCACATCGGTGCAAATTGTCATGCGACTGGATAGTTTCAAAGTCGCACCCTACTGTCAGCAATGGAAGCGGTCAAATCGGTGCGACTCCATCTGAGTCGCACTGATTTTGAAAGTAGTTCATGCACTAGTTTTTTGCAAGTTCAGGTGCAACTTGCATAAACATCTGTGCATGAAGTCACACAGATGTCTTCCAAGTCACACCTGAAGTCACACTGACTTTCAACTTTGAAATCGTGCAAATTAAAGTGAAATTGCACTTATTTCAAAGTCGAATTTGGTGTGACTGAAGCCTAAGGCTCCATGCACACTAGCGTTTTTTTTTCAAAAACCGCTGAATAAAATAGTGTTTTAGTAGCATTTAATTGAGTTATTGTTTTATTAGCATTTTACAGTACATATAGGAGAAAAAAAAAAAAGTTAGAAAAAAAACAACAACTTAGGAGCGGTTTAGTAGTGTTCATCGTTTTTTTTCTGCTGGCAAGTTGCTCCTAAAAATGGGGGGGGGGGGGGGAAGCATTTTTTTCTGCTCCTAGAAGCTGATGCTTAAGAAACCCTTCAAGCCTACAATAGTGTGCATGGACACATAGGAAAACACAATTTTCTTCTAGTGGCAGCAAAAAAAAAAAATTGAAGATCATGACTAGCTGCTAGGAGCTTAAAAATAAGTTCGTGTGCATGGATCCTCAAACTATAGTGAGTGGCTCCCCTGGTGGCGAAGACAGAATTACAAGAGACAAGCTCTGATTGCTTGTCATTAAAGAGACCCCGCCACTAACTTTACAGTGGAATTCCAGCTGACACCTAACTAGCCTTGCCCCCCTCTCCCCCCCAAAACTTACACTAACCTGTGTAAGATAAATGTACAGTATAGACTTATTTTTTGGCAGCTCTGCTCTGCTCACATGACCTCCCCTGTGTCAGCCAGCACAGCTGCAGGGAATAGGAGAGAATGCTCACACAACAGTTACTAAAGCCTGGAGTAGTGATATCATCCATAGGCTTCAATGGCCCATCCGTTGTCGGCGTTCCCTCCTCTCCCCTGCAGCTGCTCTGCTTGACACAGGGGAGCCAGATCAGGTGACCAGACCAGAGCAGCATGAAAATAGGTAAGTATATACATCTTTCTTGCACAGGTTATTTAGCATAGGAGTGGGGAGGGGACAGTTTTAAGGCTAGATACATGTAAGCTGGAATTACCACATTAAAACATTTTAGGTAAAAGCACAGATAGATCAATTGTATTAAAATCTTACTTACAGTGCTTTTCTTTTTACATTTTTTTTTTATTCACTTGCAGTATGCCAATGAACCTGCTAGGGAATTTAACCAAAAGGAATTAACCACTTGCGGACCAGTGACTTATACAGCCACAGACCTCCCTCCCCTCTTCTACTTCATAACCTTGTCCTAATTACTTTCTGTGCTGGCCCAGCTCTTGAACCCCTCACTAACCTACAAAGCCTTTCAAGTAGCTGCTGGGGGAGGAGAAAAGGGGAATACAATACTATATTTTTGTGACAGCTCTGAGTCTTTTAGATGTCTACACAAGGGAGGCTTTTACAAGTATATAACAAAGTGGAGTTCCAGTTGAATAAAAAGAAATTAACAAAAAAGTCAGCAGCTACAAAAACTGTAGCTGCCGACTTTTAAAATACAGACACTTACCTGTCCCTCGGTCCAGCGGTATCTTCACCATAGCTGGTTTCAGCAGCTGTCTTCTCTCCCCGTCATTGGCATCTTCAGTGAGGGTACCTGGCTGTGATAGCTTGCGGCTTCACATCCGGGTGCCCACAGCCCATGCGTGAGTAGCGCTGCACTTTTTGAATGGTCCGTAGTCTTCCGCGACCTGTCATGTGTCCCAGAAGACTATGGGGAGGAGGGGGGAGGACAACTTCCGCTTCCAATCGCCTTAGACGATCGCACCGGAAGTGGAAGCGGGTACCTGTCAAATTCGGGTATCCCCTCCCTCCCCGCTCCCCAAAGGTGCCAATCCTTAGCAGGGAGTGCGGACAAAGCCTTAAAGCAGAACTTTCCCTTTTGGGTGGAGCTCCACTTTAAGTGCACATATAATCTTCTGGGTGAAATTGATATTGTAATGAATGATCTGGTAACAGGGTCTCTAACAAAAGCAAATTTGGTTGTCTACAATTAAAACTTAAGGTACCCATGAATCAGGTGATGATCTTATTTTGAGTTTTTTTGTTAAGGCTGTCAATTAGTCAACTCCTGGTGTGACCGAGTGATTAGACATGTCAGAAGAACGTGTTTTGATTTGCATTGATCTTACTTTACATGTGCTCATCAACCTCCCTTTTCCATCAACATGAATATGCAAGACTAGCAGCTCTACAATGTTCTACAGACAAGTTTCATTGAAAATGGACAGAACATGTTTGCACACAACCACCAAAATGTGGTTAGGACAAAGAGTTAGACAAAGAAAACACCTGATGACAGCTCCATGTTAGCACAATTAAAGTACAACCAAGGAAAAATAAATGTTTTTAGGTTTGGATAGAATGGAGAGGGATCAGAACCCATGTCAGGCTTTTATTGCTGTCTGGGCCCTTGTTGGGGAGTTTCACCCTTTCTAATTGTCCTGTTCATCATTACCACCATGAGCATTCACAGGTTTCCCCTTTTTGTTACAGACTCAGATGTGACATGTAAACCAGTATGGATGGGGAAGAAGCTAATAGAACACAGTCTACGTTCCACCAGCTTCATTGGAGGACAGGTAAGACCTTAGGGGTCATTAAAGAGAACCTGTCACCCAAAAATGCATCACATAGGGGACTATTTTGTTATTAAAAAAAGTTTGCTTGAAAAAAAAAAAAAAAAAAAAATTTAAAAGACTCACTAAAGCACTTAAAATCTCACCTTCAAAAAAATTTTTTGAGCATCCTTCCTCCACATACGAACATAAATACGTAGGTACCTTCATAGAAAAATATAACGTACCGACGTTTGCCACCATTTCAGAGGTGCACACAATTTAAGGCATAACATATTGGGTATCTATTTACTTGGCACAACCTCAGCTTTTATACTTTTCAAAAAAATATTAGGTAATTTATTGTGTTAGTGTGTAAAAAAATTTAGAGCATTTTTTACTGACAGTTGCGCTAGTATCGTTTGACATAAAAAGAAAAAAAAATTCAACTACCGTTATTTTATTCTCTAGGGCAAGGTTTCTCAACCAGGGTTTCTCAACCCAGAGGTTTCTAGGGGTTCCATGAGCAATTTCTACCACTCAGATAAGTTACCACTGACACCATTGATCTTTTTAGCTATCTGTAAGGGAGTAATTCTTCCCAATAAACACAAGTGTACAGAGAATTCTTCCCACTGACCATCACACTAATGCATCATGACTTGTAGATATAGTAATTTTTAGCACGGGTCCCCGAGACTGGAATGTTAATTTAAGGGTTCCTCTTTGTTGAAAAGTTTGGGAAAGGCTGCTCTAAAAAAAAAAAAAAAAAAAAAAAAAAAATGTTTTGGGTGTTTTATGTAATCTTCAGGCTTAAAAATGCGCAAAAACGCATAAACAGCTCTAGCAGCAATAGGGCAAATCCCAATGAACCAGGCTACCCATATCAACATAAAAAAGGGAAAAAAAAAAAAAATATATATATATATATATATATATATATTTATTTATATCTCCTGCTATGGTACAACAACAGGACTTACCGAAGCCAGGCTGTGAGTGGAACTTGAGCGCTTGCTTGAATGCTTGCTTGGCTCTATAGAGGAAATACCACTGAGGGTGTCATTACTTTTGCTGCTTGGACTCTGCACTCTGCGGGAGTATCCTGAAAAGTCAGAGAAAAGACAGCAAGAGATATAAGCGCTGTACAGGAAAGACCCTCGGAATTCTATGACTGGTGTTAAGCATTCTTTGTTCAATCAAATCACAGCAAGTAAATTCTTCTACAATGATAAATGTCCATTATTAGCTAGACGTTGATCTATCCAATCTAAAAAGTATTAACCTGCTCCCTCTCTGTCTTTGGCCTTGCAAGTTAATCCACAGCAACTTATTAGAGAGAAGCGCCTATTGTAAATTTAAGCCATGATGTGTACACTGTATTAGACTGGCTTGTGTTAACAGAGTTGCTCATGCCAAGGGGAAACACTGGTCATTTTTAATACCCGTTTAGATATACACATGAATGTGATCAGCTAAATATACAATCTATATAATGTGCTTTAAAAAAAAAAAAAAAAAAAAAAAAAAAAAAAAAAAAAGATGATTCTACATACAGGAAGGTCAGTTTAAGGACTCATTCACACTACCATGTTGAGGCAGTGCTCCCATTACTGCAATGTTTGTTGGTGCACCATGTGAATGCGTTGTGGTGCCATTCATTTTTAGTGGCACACCAACTTATGGCACACGCTGTATTATAGCGAACTGCGTGTGGCTTGTACAGAAGGAACCTATTGCGTTTATGTTCTGTAACAGTCCCATTCATTTTGAATAGGCTGCCAAAACACAGCTCAGGTGCATGTGCAGCTCTATCTTGAAACTACCTGTAGTGATCTCAGCTCTCTGCAGTACATTCCTGCCACTGGGATTTGCACTGTGGCCAAACCTTTATGTGAATGCAGCCTAAGTGCTGTGAGAAAGTGGTTAAGGTTCCCTGAAGAACTGGTCTTGGCCAGCTCAGTAGACTTTTATAAAAGAGCTGGATGCATTCCTAAATGATCAAAACATAACTAGATATTAACATTTATAAATAATAAACACAAACACCACACACACACACACACGGGTAAAAAAAAAAAAAAAAATTGAAACACTACATGATTTGCAGGTGTGAAAGTGAACACAACATGTTTCGCATTCAAAGAATTGTCATTCACTGCGAAAAACTGAGTAATGTCAGAGCTTACTGAGCTTCAAAGAAGGCAAATTTATGGTGCCGTTTAGCTGATGCCTCTATGACTGAAGTTGCCAATTTATTTGCCGTGTCACGAGGTACAGTATCAAAAGTTATAACGGCACGTACAGTTTCCAAGAAAACATCTGAGAAGGAAGCACGGTTGATATGGTCAACTGACTGAAAGACAAAAAAGGACATTGCGCAGGATAGGAAAGCAACTGCTGCAAACGTTACTGCAGAGCTCAATCTTAGTCCCATGAATGACGAAAGTGATGCTTCCCACCTGTTAGCTAGATGTCATCACACAGAAGAGTGTTACATCACTCATGCTTTCATCGTGAAACATGTCGTCAATATATATATATATATATATATATATATATATATATATATATATATACACACATACATATACACACACACACACACACACATATATATATATATACACACACACACACATACATACACACACACACACACACATACACACATACACATAGTCAGTCTGGCCGACAAAAGACAAAAGTCCATCCAGTTCAACCGTAAAAAAAAAAAAAATTATAAAGTTACACCCAGAGTTGATCCAGAGGAAGGCAAAAAACCCAGCAAAGCACGACCCAATTTGCTCCTGGAGGGCCAGATGTGGGCTACTCCTTCGGTATTTCTTCATCAATTAAGCAGGTAAAAAGGTCTGGAGTTGATTCTAAGTGTGGAGAGGAAATGCCAATAGTGTAGTAGGTTCAAGAACTTTATTGGATCAACAGTAGTTAAGCCAGGGTTACATGTGCACACAAATACCATTAGCCATCCATAGCCTAGGAGGAGCCAGTAGCAAGTGTGACTTCCTGACCACTGGGACCACGAGGAGGTCCGGTGGTCTTTGATCCTCGCCGGGTTAGTACATGTTTTTACCTTTCATATTTACCAGTCTGCTTGATGGCTAATGGTATTTGTGTGCACATGTAACCCTGGCTTAACTACTGTTGATCCAATAAAGTTCTTGAACCTACTACACTATTGGCATTCCCTCTTTTTTGACCCTCTTTTTGGAGGGTTTCAGATCTGCATCCACCATTTCTGGGGTACCTGGAACCAGGAGGGGGACCCCTGCCTGCCTATCATTTGGAGCGAAAGGGCTCTCTGTACCTGGAGGTATATTACTGCACCCAAGACCGATGTCAGTATTTGAGAGGGATGGTCTATGTGTCCTTAGGATCTACATGCCTGGCTGGTCATCCGCATAAGAGTGTACACATGCGCATTTAAAATGTGCGGTCGGTGAGTGCGCATTTTTTCTGTTTGATACCAGTCACCTAATAAATAAGGAGGAGACCTTCACATACCTATGGTCACTTTATTGTGGAAGGACTTTATGAACTATTTTATCTGCACTCATTTAATTATGTTCATTTTTAATTGATACACCAGCGCTGCACTATATATTATTATTCTTGTTTAAAGGTCCAGTGATTCCTTAGAGTGTTTCAGCAGCTGAATTTTGAGCGCTCGCTTTACCTTTATGCCAAGGTCTATGGGAATGTTTGACCATTTTTCCAGAAGGACATTTGTTGGACGAAAAGGCCTGGCTCAAAGTCTCTGCTCTAATTCATCCCAAAGGTGTTCTATTGGGTTAAGGTCAGGACTCTGTGAAGGCCAGTCATGTTCCTCCACCCCAAACTCACTCATCCATATCTTTATGGACCTTGCTTTGTGCACTGGTGCGAAGTCATGTTGGAACAGGAAGGGGCCATCCCCAAACTGTTCCCACAAAGTTGAGAGTATGATATAGTCCAAAATGTCACCTTAAGAGTTCCCTTCACTAGAATTAAGGGGCCAAGCCCAACCCCTGAAAAACAACTCCACACCATAATCCCCCCTCCACCAAACTTTACACAATGCAGTCAGACAAGTACCACTCTCCTGGCAACCGCCAAACCAAGACACGTTCATCGGATTGCCAGACAGAGAAGAGGAATTTGCCACTCCAGAGAACACGTCTCCACTGATCTAGAGTCCAGTGGCGGCATGCTTTATACCATTGCACTTGATGATGTAAGGCTTGGATGCAGCTGCTCGGCCATGGAAACCCATTCCATGAAACGCTGTATGCAACGTTGTTGTGCTAAACTGAAGACCACACGAAGTTTGGAGGTCTTCAGCTAGTGACTCTGCAGACAGTTGGCGACTTCTACACTCTGCGCTTCAGCATGCGCTGACCCCGCTCTGTCATTTTACATGGCCTACCACTTGGTGGCTGAGTTTCTGTTGTTCCCAGTTGCTTCCACTTTGTTATAATACCACTAACAGCTGACCGTGGAATATTTAGCAGCAAGGAAATGTCACGGATGGACTTATTGCACAGGTGGCAACCTATCACGGTACCACGCTTGAATTCACTGAGCTCCTAAGAGCGACCCATTCTTTCACCAATGTTTGTAGAAGCAGTCTGCATGCCTAGGTGATGATTTTATACACCTGTGGCCATGGAGGTGATTTGAACACCTGAATCCAATGATTTGGACGGGGAGATATATATATATATATATACATATATATACACACACACACACACAGTAATACCTTGGTTTACGAATTACGGTTAATGTAATTTTCGGTTTATGAATGAAAATCCATTGAAAATAATGCCTCGTTTTTACTAATTTCTTTGCAATACGAAGTGTAGGTCAGTGCTGACTTTTAAATGCAATGCCGGCTTTTTTTTTTTTTCACTATAGCTCACAGAATTAGCCGTCACTTTCCCCAGAGTTAACAGAAACTTTGTTTCTTTTAAGAAACTAAAAGGAAACATTGTTTCTCTTAACTGGGGGAAAAAAGTAAAAGAAAAAAACTCTCTCTCTCTTTCTTTTAGCTGGGGGTAAAGTGACAGCTGAATTTCTGAGCTATAGCAAAGGAAAAAAAAAAAAAGCGGTAATTACATTTAAAAACCAGCACCATAATAAATAAAAAAATAACGGCGTGGGGTCCCTCAACACGGGGGCATGCTTTGAGGTGGGGGGGTTCCCCCCCAAAGCACCTTGTCCCCATATTGATGAGGACAAGGGCCTCTTCCGCACAACCCTGGCCAGTGCTTGTGGGGGTTTGCGGGCAGGGGGCTTATCGAAATCTGTCAGGGAGGTCAGAATAAGCTTGCATGTATAGCCCATGAACCAAAAATACTGTCCATAAAGTAAAAAAAAAAAAAAAAAGTTTTTTTTTTAATCTCACTACAATATGAACCAACTGTACGAACAGAATGTCCAACTGTGAAATATTGTTTCTGTCACATAAGGTTGTATCCTAAAAATCTATATATAATTTCAAAAAACATTACAAGTATTACTGCTGTAAAGTAAACATTATAGGCAGGCTCAATTTGCTAAAACTATAAGTACGTTATGTTTTGTAACATTTATATGTCTGCTTTCACACTGCTGTTCTGCGTTTTTCCTGCACTGCAAGAAGAGTGCGGCTTACCAACACATTTGGAGCAGGTTAGCTGTGCTTTCCCTCACAAGAGTTATATTATGTCCCACATGTTTGGTGCGCTTTCTGAAAGCTCACAAAAACTCCTGCATGCTGCATCTTTGGTGTACTTTCAGAAAGTGCACCAAACATGAGGGATACAATACAACTCTATGGGAAACTCCAAACATGCGGGTAAGCTGCGTTGCACCCTCAGTGCAGGAAAAAGCACCACAGCAGCGTGAAAGCAGGCTTATTCTCCATCGTGTAACTGTTGTGTTCACTTCATAGCAGTCGTCACTGTAATATAAAAAAAAATAAAAATACAAACAATGTATTTGGACCATCCCTAACAGGTTAATTTGATTTGGCATCCCTGCTGTGTGCTCACCACCAGTCCGCAATAAAACCACAAAATAGGATTACATAGCTTTATGCACCCTGTATATTACCTCGTTTCA